GCTGAGAGGCCGCGGAGCCCGGTGTTCTGGAGGCCGGTTTCTGGAGGAAGCCCAGTGGGTTCAACTCCAGTCCCAGGGCCTCCTCTCCCAGGCAGGGGGACCTTGGGTACATTATTTAGCCACTCTGTCCTCAATTTCCTCCTCTGCAAAATGGGCAAATAACACATCCACCAGAGAAATGTTTTAAAGATTTATTTAATTTTATTTATTATTATTAGGGCTTTTTGCTGTTGCTGTTGTTTGTTTTTAATTTGCTATAGGGCACATGCACTTACTAGAGAGGGAAAGTGAGAAAGCAAGCTGTCAGGTCCGGGACGCGAACTGCAGTTGGCCATTTGGGAATCCAGTGCCCTTAACCACCACACCACCTGCTGGCCCCCACCAGAGAGATCTTTTATTTTTTAAATCATTGGTTTATTTATTTATTTTTACATTTTCTCACCAGCATTTACTTATCAAAAACATTTTGCTCATACTCCATAGTTCTTAACAGTTAATGAACAACTTTCAAAATTTCAAAAAAGAGTTTTAAAGATAATGTTCAAAATATCTGTTACAATTTTGCTTGTGACTCTATAACAAGAGAGACAGTATGGTTTTAAATATTTTTGATAAGATATTTACATGTCAGCCACTCAAATTGTTGAAAAGCAAACACCCAGCACACAATTCACACATGAACCTTCCCAACTCAGCTCTGCCTACCAAGTAAGTATTCTGTGGTTTACCATCTGCTAGCAAACACCTGTCTCTTTCTCTTCCTTCAAAGTGTTCCTCAAGGTAATCCTCTGGTTGTGGCTGCTCTTTTGTAATCTGTACCAATTACAATGCTGAGCCTGAAATGTCCTCTTGCCTGTGGCTTCTCTAATCCTCTCTGCCAGCTCTTCATGGTGCCAGGCCATCTTTCCAAGAGCTTCCGTTGGCTTCCTTGAGATCCACCTTAGTTCCATAGTTTTCTGGTTTAATCTTCAAATGTGACATTCTAGTCAAAGCCCTGTCCAATAATGAGTATTTCCAATTTCTGATTCAAGGCTACAGGTGTTATTGAATTTATGCAAATAACCATTCTGCCACAAAATAAGAATATCCCAAATATTTTCCAATTCTAGAGGGGTCCGGAAGGAAGAAATGTTTATGTTTCCATTTAAAAAAATAAACGAGAAGAAAAAATATTTTAACAAATTGCTGAACCTATCAATAGCTCAAAAGAAAGCAAAATTCCTGGGACCAGCAGTTAGCGTAATGGCTATGTCGCTGGACTCCCACATAGGCGACCGTGGTTCACGTCCTGAACCCAGTGGCTTAAAACTCATGCTGGGCATGTGTGAGTGCATGCCCAAGATCCCAAGAGGAGAATGGAGGAGAAGGGATTGCGGCATGGCCATCCC